CCCCTCCCAGGGCAAGGAGGGGACCAACTCAGTGGCTGTACCCCCCCTGCCACCATTTCACAGTCCCACCAACGCCAGCACAACAAGGACAAGCCCTACAAGTGCCCCAACTGCTACCGGGCCTACACGGACTCGGCCTCCCTGCAGATCCACCTCTCGGCTCACGCCATCAAACATGCCAAGGCCTATTGCTGCAGCATGTGCGGCCGCGCCTATACCTCGGTGAGCCCCGGGAACCCCCCCGGATCCAGCACACACCCCAAAAAAACACCCCCCAAATCCAAACCCTGAGATCCACCGTCCCGGGAAACCCACCTGAGATCCATCACCCCAGACCCACCTGAGATCCACCACCCCAAAACCACCCTCTGAGATCCACCACCCCAAAAACACCCTCTGAGATCCATCACCCCAGACCCCCCTGAGATGCACCACCCCAAAAACACCCTCTGAGATCCACCACCCCAAAAACACCCCCTGAGATCCACCACCCCAAAAACACCCTCTGAGATCCACCACACACCAAAAAATCCTCCCCAGAATCCAAACCCTGAGATCCACCACCCCAAACCCCCCTGAGATCCACCACCCTAGAACCCCACCCCGATCCAACACACACCAAAAAAACCCTCCAAATTCCAAACCCTGAGATCTCCCATCCCCAAAACCCCCCTGAGATCTACCACCCCAAAGCCCCCTGAAATCCAACACACAGGAAAAAAACCTCCAAAATCTAAACCCTGAGATCCACTGTCCCAGAAAATCCCCGAGATTCACCACAAGAGCCCCCCTGAGACCTACCACACACAAAAACCAAACTCTGAGATCCACCACCCCAAAAATACCCTCTGAGATCCACCACCCAACCTCCCCACCAACATCCACCACCCCAAACTCCTCTGAGATCCACCTCTAGAACCCCCTGGGATCCAACCACCCCAAAGCCCCCTGAGATCCACCACCCAACCTCCCCCTGAGATCCAACCACCCCAAACCCCTCTGAGATCCACCCCTAGACCCCCCTGAGATCCACCACCCAACCTCCCCATGAGATCCACCTCTAGAACCCCCTGAGATCCACCTCTAGAACCCTGAGATCCACCACCCAACCTCCTCACGAGATCCACCCCTAGAACCCCCTGAGATCCATCA